GGGGGGGGGGGAGGGGGGAAGAGGGGACTTGAGAGGTTGGGGGAAGGGGTCCACGTTGGGCAGCCCTGGGGTGAGATCGCATGGACCTGACCTCCACATCTGGTCTCTGTCCACCGAGACTCACGACTACCCAGCGCTTCCGGCCCTCACAGCGGACAGAGAGCTAGAAGTCAGTCCCTTTTCCTGTGTAAATGGGGAGATCGAGGCCCACAGAGGGCGTAGCCACACCTGGGGGCGCACACAGTGAGGGCAGAGGTGAGATCTCAGGCTTCCTGTCTCCCATCTGGCAGGTTTAAGGTGCAAAATACATCCTCCAAGCAGATGTGACTCAATGCCGTGTGTTTATTCCCAGAACCCAGGGAGGCCGGATTCCACAGTGGAGTGACAGGTCACGCCGGCCTCCTCTGACCCGGCTTCTCCACGGTGCCCTCAGATGCGGATGTGGAAGGTGCTGGGTGCAAAGAGATATAGGGTCAGTGTCATCGGGCGAAGGGTTACCCTCCCTCATCGTTCCCCCAGACTCTCCCGCCGGGGGTCCCTGAGATAGGCAAGGAGCCATGGAAGGGGGGAGACGGATCCTCTCAAAAACCCCAGGCCGTGCCCCCCCACCCCCACCCCCAGCTCCCACAGGGGCTGAAAGCATATCTCTTTGGATCAGTTTACATCCCGGCCCCGCCCCAGACTTGCTATGGGACTCTGAGTGAGTGGCTGTGCCTTCCTGGGCTTCAGTTTACCCCTCCGTAAAATGGGGATAATAGCCATCCCTCCCGCATGGGGCTGTAATGAGGGTACTGTCCGTGGTAGGGCTCATTCAGTTGCCATTATCCGCGTCTCCGCTAAGACACCAACCGCGCTTCTCCAGGCAGAGGAAGGGGGCCCTCTGCGCACGTAAGGACACCGCCCATAATGACAGCCGCAACAGCAGCCACAGCACACATTGAGCACCTGCTGTGTTCCAGGCACGGCTCTAAAATCTTTCCGTGCGCTGACTCAGGGGTCAGCCAACTTCTGTCAAGAGCCACATAGGTGATATTTCCAGCTCTGCGCAACGGCTCAGCTGGGTCTCGTAGTTAGAAAGCGGCCGGAGACGGTGCGTCCACATTCAGGCGTGGCTGTGTGCCAATAACACCCTTGATGGACACGGAAATTGGAACTTCCTATCCAGGTCATGCGTCACGCAGTATTACTATTCCTTAATCTTTCCCCCGCCATTGAAAACATGTAAAAGCCATTCTTAGCTCACGGGAGGTACAAAAACAGGTGGCTGGCCGTCCCCTGTATTCACTCGCTCTCAGCCCTCCGGTGGGGGCTTTGATTCCGCCCAGGACTGCCAAGCACAGTTGTACCCTCTGCCCACTGCAAAATGTTCAGAAGAGTGAGGGTTGAAGACCAGCCATGTTCCATTCACCCAAAGAGCTACGTCCGCCCACGGGGTGTGCCCAAGGGGTCCCCGATTATCCCCATTTTAAAGATGCAGGGACTGAGGCCAGGGAGGCTGGGAATGCTCTCTAAGATGACAGATGAACGAATGGAGGAACTTTCACAAACGGGGTCTGGGCTCTAGTTCTGTAAGAGCCCCTCTCAGACATGGAAATCGCCAGGAAGGTCACCTGAGGAAGTCGGGTGCCCGCAGGATCATGTTCTGGAAGTCTTCCAGGGAGAGCCGCCCATCGTGATCCCCATCGGCCTCTCCCAGCACCTTCTCACACACCAGGCTCACCTCCTCGGCGCTCAGCTCCCCCCGCGTCAGCTTGGTCACCGTCTGCTCCAGGTCCCACGCACAGATGTAGCCGTCGTCGTTGAAGTCTGTGCCGCAGGATGGACGGGGATGTAGGGTGGGGGCTCATCTGGCGGCAGGCCTCTTGTCCCCACGTTACAGAGGAGGAAACTGAGGCAGCGGAGGGAACCCAGGACCCTGGGGCAATAGCTGGAGCCTTGCTTTAGAATATTGGGCAGGGACCTGCTGGGAGGCCATTCATTCACTCAACGAGTATCCGAGGGAGTGCCTCCTATGTTCTAGGCACTGTGATAAATTTCCCTCCAACCAACAAGCTTTTATTGAGCACCTACTATGTGCCGGGCGTGCGAGACAGATGGGGAAGAAAACAGTTACGGCTGCGGCCCTTGGGTCTCATCAGAGAGAAGTCAGTAAGAAATGAACAACAGATCACAGGGGCGCCTGGTGGCTCCGTGACTTAAGCGGTCAATTCTTGATCTTGGCTCAGGTCCCGATCTCACGGTTCGTGAGACTGAGCCCCACAGCGGGCTCTGCGCTGACAGTGCAGAGTCGGCTTGGGACTCTCCCTCCCCCTCACTCTTTGCCCCTCTCCCACTGTCTCTCTCTCTCCAAATAAATAAATACAATTTAAAAAAAGAAGAGAAAGGAACAGATTATGAACAAGAAGTTAAGAAGCAGTGCTTCATGCTGAGAGAGAAATAGGATGTGGGGCAGAGGCTGCTTTTGACCTAGACTGCAAGGTGCGAAAGAGTCAAGGGAAAGGTGTTCCAGGCAGAGGGAACAGCAGAGGCAAAGGCCCAGAGGGAGACCGAGTTTGGTGTGTTGGAGGAAAAGTGAGGCCAGTGTGGCTGGAAAGGAGTAAGGGCGTGAGGTCAGCAGGTACCCAGGTGGGGCAGGACGGGGCCATGCACGGCCTCGAAGCCCTGTGGCGGCAGGCACAGCCCCCGGCTGGAGCCCTGGTCTGTTCCCACTCCCCACCCCCACGCTCCGCCATCCCCGGGCCCTGCACGCACCATAAATTTTGAAAGCATAGTAGGCTTTGAGGTCACGGGGAGCCATTTCGCTCATCACGGAAAACATGTCCAGGAAGTTGTCCAAGGTCATGTGGCCGTCCCCATCGTCAGAGAACACCTGGGCAATCCTCTGGCGGAATGGGTTGTCCTGGGGACAGGAAGCAGGGTGGCCATCCCTGACCAGGGTCTCAGGGCCCCAGGTGGAATCGCTCTCAGCACCCACCTTCCTGAAACCTGCACGTACCTCCCCACCAAGACTTCCTCCCTCTCACGGACCCAGGAGAGGACTTCAGGCAACTCTTCTCTCTGCCCCTGAGGTCTGCGTGGCCTTGACCACCCTTCCGGCTCCAGACACAGCCACATGACCCGAGTGAGGCCAATCAGAGATCACCATCCACTAGGAGACCCTGATTGGTTCTGGAGTAGGCAGGGTGACCCAAGCTGGCCAATCAGAGGCTGCCCTGGGATGTTTTCTGAAAGACGGGGATGGAGGTCCCTGCCTTCTGTTGGTTGCAGAGCTGACGGGAGGAAATCTGCGACCACTGGGGCTTCCCTCACTATCTCAAGAGGGTAAGCTGCCTGAGACTGAAGCCTCTTCCTGGGAGGCACTGAGAGATGGAAGGAGATTCCTGAGCATGTCGAGACCCTGGTTCCAGCCATACCTGGTGCCAGCTCTACCCCTGGAGTTTTTGCTCACGTGATCCAATAGATTTCGTCCTTTATTCTTTCATTTTTTTTTAACGTTTATTGATTTTTTGAGACAGAGAGAGACAGAGCATGAACAAGGGAGGGTCAGAGAGAGAGAGGGAGACACAGAATCCGAAACAGGCTCCAGGCTCTGAGCTGTCAGCACAGAGCCCAACACGGGGCTTGAACTCACAAACCGCGAGATCATGACCTGAGCCGAAGTCGGACGTTTAACCGACTGAGCCACCCAGGCGCCCCGTCCTTTTTTTTTTTTTTTTAAGCTTATTTATTTATTTTTGAGAGAGAGAGTACAGTGGGGGAGAGGCAAAGAAAGAGAAGGAGAGAGAGAATCCCAAGCAGGCTCCACACTGCCGGTGCAAAGCCCAGCTTGGGGCTCGAACTCACAGACTGTGAAATCATGACCTGAGCAGAAGTCTGACCCCTAACTGACAGAGCCACCCAGGCGCCCAAGATTTTGTCTTTCTTGAATGAGGTTTCTGTCCCTTGTGATAAGATCCTCTCTATTCAATCACTCACCCCACGAGTCCCCTTCAGCATCACAAACTATGTGACAAACATCCAGCTGAGAAGAACCTACGTTTTTAATGGCTCCTGCTATGCAAAGCAGGACGGACATCCCCTGAGTCCCCGCCACGCTGTAGGCCCCGTGCCACACCCTTTACCTGCCTCATCTCATTTCATCGTTCCGACAACCCAGGTTCTGAATCCTGTCTCTCTCACATCCCAGCTGTGTGACGCTGACCAAGTGTCTTAACCTCTCTGAACCTCAGTTTCTTCATCTGCAAAATGCATCTGCTTCGTAGGAGTGCGGCAGGAGACCTGCTATTTTGCCCCCGCCTGCTCCAGGGCCTCGGCGTACCTTCAGCTCAGGCATGCTGCCGATAAGCTCGTAGGGCACCTTCACATCAGGACAGCTGGTATAGTCGAGGGGGACAAGCTGGGGAGCCAGGTCCTGGTAGCGATAGAAAAGCCTGGTGTGGGGAGGGAAACATCGGCAAGGGCTGGGAGAGGGGCTGGGGAGGACGTGTCCCTTCTGTCTCACTCGTGCACCCGCCCACTACCCACTGGAGGACCCTGGGTCCCCAAGAGTCATCCGCTCTGAGCCCAGTCCTCAAGCACACAGAGCCCAACACAGGCACTTCTACCCGCTGGGGACAGGGCCACAGTGGAGAGAGGGCCCCAGAGCTAGGGGAGACTGGAGTGGGGACGCTGACACTGGGCTTTGAAGAACGCGTAGGGGCTCATTCCTGGGCAGAGGGGGGTGGCAAGAGAGACAGCGCATCAGGCATTCAGAGAACCTGAGCGAGTCTATGAATCTCTGGATATCATCACATTGTCGGCAAGACTCTGCCTCTAAAGACCCCCATCCTCACATTTTGCTTCTCTCCCTCCATAACGGGAGGGTTTCCTAAATGGGGCAGAGCTGAGACAAAAGCCCAATATTCAGGGTTTTTTTGTGTTTTTTTTTTTTCTAATGCGTGAAAGGCATTTTGCAAAACAGCAAATACCACCCGCACTGCCTGGATTGTGAGGCCAGCTCTCCACTCCAATGTCCTCACCTGCTGACGCCCTGCCTCCACTGGGGGCGCCACGCGCAGCAGCCTTGTGGAGACCATCCTTGATGAGCCAGAGGCCCCCAAGCTGCTAGGGTTTGTTTCCCGGGGCGGGGAGACAGGAGCCCTTGGGTCATATGATGGCTAGGAACTCAGGGAGGGGGTATCTGGAGCGTCCGTTCCCTGTCTGGGTCCCCCCTCAGGGAACAGCCCGGGTTTGGGTTTCTGTATGGCCTCGAGCATTCCGCTTCCCCCTCTGAGCCCCAGTTATTCTGCTGACAAACAAGAAGCTTAGGGCAGGCGAGACGCCAGCGCTCACACCCCTTGCAGCTCTGCCCGTCTTGCAGAGCTGGAGTGGGCCGCCCCCGTGCGAGCCTCAGTTTCCCCATGGGTAATCTGATCGTGATGGCCAGGGTGACCCTGAGAGCTGTCCTCACCCAGACAATGGGGCTCACTGGTGAAAGGTGTGCCCATCAATAATGGATATCTGGTGCCCACACAATTGGGGCCTTGGCCCCGATCACTCTGTATCTGAACCCCGGCCGGCTAGGGTTTCACCGCTCCGAGTTCATGGGTTGGGGCCTCTGGACAATGGCTCCATGGGCTGAGCGGTCATGTGGGGTACCCACCAACCCCTCTCGTTCACGCCAGGGAAACTCAGCAGCCTCAGGCCACCCCCCCCACACACACACCGTTACGTTGATTTACCTTCACAGCCCAGAGCCGACTCTGGACTCTGCCCCCAGGTTCCCAACCTCCAGTGCCAGGCTCTTCACCCTGGCCTCAGCGGGATCTTTCTAACACGCCTTCTGACATCTTTCTAGCATCTTTCTGACATGCTGATTCGTACCAGCCCCTGCCCCCCACCCCTGCTCACATACCCTCCGTGGCTCCCCATCACCCTTGGGAAAAGCCCAAGCTTATCAGCCTAGAGGCCGTGACAGTATGACAAGATGTGGCTTCTCAGCCTCCCCATCCCTGCCTCCACCCACGGACCACGACTGCAATCCCTCCCTTCACACTTTAACCACCATAAAGCACCCCATCCTGCCCAATTGCACATATCACCCAGCAACGGATAGAAAGTTATTTCCAGGTCTTCCTCCCTTTCCCCCAGACTGACCTCATGATTTCCTTTCTTGTGAAGAAGGTGCAGTCCTGCAGAGAGAGATATTGGCTTGGCCTAGAGCCTGCCTCGGGGGCCCCCTTCCTGTCCCTCCCACTGCACCCCCTCTCTGCACGCCGATCTGTACCAGGAACGCTTGCCGACCGCACACCCAAGACAGATGATGCTGTCCTCCTCAGGCCAAGAAATCAAGGCTGCCAAACCTGCCGAGGGCCCAGCGCATCACCCCTACCTGATATGCTTCCAGCTGCTCATGAGTGAAGACTGTCTGCTTGTTGCCCATGGTGAAGGCCGCTGCCAGGGCTCTGGAACAAGCTCCCGAAGCCCCCGATCTCCTCGGGGCCACACGGGTTGCCAGGCTGCTGCACATCAGCGTCTGGGCAAATCTCTCTGCCCTGGCTGTCACCTGCCCACCCGCCCCGTCACCCCCAGCCTGGGGGAGATCAAGTTACAGCCCAGCTCTCTGGGCAACAGCCTGAGTATGTCCATGGCCACCAGGACGAGAAGGACTGTGTAGGAGGTCACAGAGCAGCAGAGCACGTCTGCCCCCACTGGGTGAGGCTGGGGGCATGGGACGCCTTCCAGAGACAGGCAGCCTGATGGAAAGACTGCAGGCACACCCCACCTCAAATACTAGCTCTCCACCCACTAGTTGTGTGGCCTTGGACAAGTCACCTGACCTCTCTAAGCCTCGTTTGTAAGAGGGGAGATGTATCAGTACCTAACTCATAGAGTCATTCTGAAGATCTAATATCATTAATGCAATCAAAACAATTTCTTTTGACCATTGGTTAGAAGCCAGTTTTAGGCACTGGGAGCATAATTGGGTGAGCAAGCTAAATGAGGTCCCAAGATGTGCTTGGAGATGATGATGATGATGATGTTATGGCTCAAGAAGAGTGATCCAAGGTGTAAGTTTGAGAAACAATTGGTTAAATAATACCAAAGAGAATTCTTTCTTTGCCGGACTTGTCAGAGCCCTTAGTATGCTAATAATCACCATGCATCCTCAATGGGTAAATACAACATAGCAGCTGCCAACCTTATTGGGGCCCAGAGTCATCTTGGGCAGAACACCTGGGAGTCAAAAGCCCTTTGCCTGGTGCTCCACTTTCTTCTCCTGCTCAGCCTTTTCTAGCTCCACAGCCCAGCCTCCCTGAACTGCTCTTGGATCTCCTCCCTCCAACCCCACCCCACCCCCATACTCTCCCTGGCCTGGACCATCACAGTTCTTCCTAGCGTCATCAACTCTCTTCTGTCCCAGTGTGTGAAGCCACCTGGTAGAATGGGACTATGATAAGGCTTTAAAGACCCCCTTAGGATGATTTTTTTTAAAAAAACTGACAATATCAAGTGTTGACGAGGGTGTGGAACAACTAGAAGTCATTAATCACTGGAGATGATGCAAAATGGTACAGCCGCTCCAGAAAATGGAGAGCTTTTTTAGATGTTAAACATGCCCTTACCCCGTGATTCAGCAATCCCACTCCTGAGTAGTTACCCAAGGGAGATGAAAATCTACGGGCACACGAAAACCTGTTCATCCCCACAGCATGGAGAAAATACTTGCAAATCATATATCTGATAAGGGACTAGTCACCACAATATATAAAGAACTCTAACAAGTCTACAATAAAAGGACAAATATCCCAGATCAAAAAACGGGCAAAGATGGTTGGGGGTGCGGGTAGTAATAGATGGAACACAGAGGATTTTTACAGCAGTGAATCAACTCTGTATGATACTGTAATGGTGGACGTATGTCATTATACATTTTTCCACAACCATAGAATATACAACACCAAGAGTGAAGCCTCGTGTACACTTTGGATGATATGATGTGTCACCGTAAGTTCATTGCTTGTAACAAGTGCACCACTCTGGTGGGGGATGTTCACAGTGGGCAGGCTGTTAATGTGCAGTGGCCAAGAGTATATGGGAAATACCTGTACCTTCTGCTCAATTTCATTGTGAACCTGAAACTGCTCTAAAAATAAAGTCTATTAAAACAAAACAAAACAGGGGCGCCTGGGTGGCGCAGTCGGTTAAGCATCCGACTTCAGCCAGGTCATGATCTCGCGGTCCGTGAGTTCGAGCCTCGCGTCGGGCTCTGGGCTGATGGCTCAGAGCCTGGAGCCTGTTTCCGATTCTGTGTCTCCCTCTCTCTCTGCCCCTCCCCCGTTCATGCTCTGTCTCTCTCTGTCCCCCCAAAAAATAAATAAATGTTGAAAAAAAAATTTAAAAAACAAAACAAAACAGGTAAAGGATTTGGGTAGACATCTCTCCAAAGAAGATATACAAATGGCAAAGAAGATATAGAGTAAGCATGTGAAAAGATGCTGAACATCACTGGTCATTAGGGAAATGCAAATTAAAACCACAGTGAGATACTACTCACATGCACTAGGATGCCTGTAATGAAAAAGACAGACAATAGCACGTGTTGACCAGGATGTGGGGCTACGGGAACCCTCACACACTGCTGGTGGGAATGTGAAATGATGCAGCTGCTTTGGAAAACAGTTCAGCGATTCTTTAAGAAGTTAAACACAGAGTTACCATGTGACCCATCAATTTTCATTCTGAGGTGGAGGGAAGTGAAGCTATATGTCCACATAAAAACTTGTGTGTGAATGTTCATCACAGCGTTGTTCATAACAGCCCCCAAATGGAAACAACCCAAATGTGCACGAGTGGATGAATGGATAAAGAAATTGTGGTTCCTTCATACAGTGGAATATTACTCAGCCATAAAAAGGAACGAAGCACTGACACATGCTACTATGTGGATGAGCCTTGAAAACATCGTGCTAAGTGAAAGAAGCCAGACACAAAAAGGTCACTGTCATGTGTGACTCCACATGTATGAAACATTCGGACCAGGCAAATCCATGGAGACAGAGAGCAGATTAGTGGTTGCCAGGGACCAGGGGAGGGCGATGGGAAGTGACAGCTCAAGGTGGGGGGAGTTTCCTCCCGGGGTGATAAAAATGTTCTAGAATTAGATAGTGGTGATGGTTGCACAGCACTGTGACTGTAATAAATGCCACTGAATTGCCCACTTAGAAGGGTGATTTTTATGGTATGTGAATTACATCTGTTTCTAAAAATATTTGGATATGAAGAGTGATGGCAACTCTGTTCGTAATTACCCAAAACTGGGAACAACACAAATATTCTTCACCTGGGAAATGGATAAAAAAAACAAAACAAACAAACAAAAAAAAACAACAACAAAAAAAAACCTGGGGCCTGTCCATACAATAGACTCAGCCATAAAAAGGAATGAACTGTCGATATACACAAAATGAATGGACCTCAAATGCATCATGCTATCTGAAAGATGCCAGATTCAAGAGGCTACCTGCTGGATGATTCCATTTATATGACGTACTCAAAAGGACGCAACTATAGGAACAGAAAACAGATCAATGGTTGCCAGGGGCTGCAGATGAGGGAACAAGTGAATCTCAGGGGTGATGAAATAGTTCTAGTATCTTGATTGTAGTGTTGGTTACATGACTGTATTCGTTTGTCAAAACTCATAGACCCGTACACCAAAAAGGGTGAGATTTTTGCATGTAAATACATTTTTTTAAATGAGGACAATGACAAAACTAATTAGCAAAGACCTTGCTCCCCATGCCTCATGGTTGAAGTCCAGATTCCTATGCCTGACCCCATCAGACACTCTGTGATTTGGTTATATGGCCCCTCCATCAACAATTAGTTGTTGAGCACCTACTGTGTCTCGGGTGCTGTCCTAGGTCCTGATAATACATGGGTGAACAAAAGCCGTGCTCTCCCAGAGCTCACGTTCCAATGGGCAAGCTACCAAATAAATATATGATTAGTCAGGAGCACTAAGTTCCAGGAAGAAAAATAAAACAGGGCAGGGATAGAGAGATGAGGTTGGGCCAAAAAGATTGGGAAGGGAAAGCACCCCTGGTGACGTGATATTTGAGTAGTGAGGGGATAGTGAGTGGGAAGAGAGTCGCTGGCGGTGGGAAGAGCGAGTGCAAAGGCCCTGAGACTGGAGTAAGTTTGACACAGTTGGAGGAGAGCGAGAAGGCTGGTGTTGTGCAGGAGCTCAGCAAGCATTAATTACAGCTAACAGGCTGCCTCTCTGACACCCAGCTCCAATGATGGGATTTTTTTTCTTTTTTGCATTTCCAAGAAGTCATTTCTCATGGTATAAGTAAATTAATTCTATCTTTGTGTGGATAAATTCCATCTTCATCACGATAAGTAAGATGCAACAATCCCCCCCTTGCCATATGGGATGTAGAACTCAGAATCATAACGCCAGTACTGCGTTTCAATAAGCAGATCAAAACGGCAATGAGATATCACTGCCAGGATGACTATTATCAAAAAAGAGCAAAAGGTAATAAATGTTAGTGAAGAGGTAGAGAAATATCAACCCTGCGCACCATGGGTGTGGGAATGCAAAATGGTGCCTCCACTATAGAAAACAGTATGGAGGTGTCTCAAAAACGTAAACCTAGGGGCACCTGGGTGGCTCAGTTTGTTAGAGCATCTGGCTCTTGATTTCAGCTCAAGTCATGATCTCACGCTCATGAGTTCATACTGGACATGGAGCCTGCTTAGGGTTCTCTCTCTCTCCCTCTGCCCCTCTCCCCAGCTTGCGGATGTGCTCGCTCTCTCTCTCTCTCTCAAACAAAACATAGGGGTGCCTGGGTGGCTTAGTTGAGCATCTGACTCTTGATTTCAGCTCAGCTCGTGATCTCACAGTTCATGAGATCGAGCCCCACATCAGGCTCTACACTGATGTCAAGGAGCCTGCTTGGGATTCTGTTTCCCTCT